AAGAATAACCTACCAAAGGCAATATGGTTTCGTCTTCTTTGTGTCGCTGAAGCTCTGGCCATTCACATAGAAGAACCAGAGCTGTGCATACAAAAGAGTATTACTCAAAGTCCTCTGCTGTCATGGTAACGACTGTTTTGATTTTTTGTGACTTAATTTTGTTTGTTTACCTGTTCTTTAATTGCTTATAATTCTTGTATTCATTTAGAACTCTTACGTAATTTCGTACTCTGTACTTTGTTCCTATGTGTATCCTGAATAAAACTCAATCATCAAACCATTTATGTTATTACATAACTTCGTTTAACAACTGTTTGTGACAACTCATCACTTCTGTTACTACATTAGTTTCATTAACACTCAATTTTCTTGATGCTTTTTGTATGGAGCAATTCTACCCAAAACTTACTAATTTTCACCTGTTTAGTTAAAATAAACACAACCAGTTGTATTTTTATTTGACAAACTTAATGTAAACATGCATACAAAATAACACATATATATTTGCCATTGTACAGCTAAGAAAATAAATTCACCGAAAAGAGACTCTTCGCTGAACTACGTGTTTTGTTTTCATTAATGCCTGAATGGGGATTATTCATGAGTTTCTGCTTCTCTCTTTTCCTACATTTATGTCTATTTTTAAACAGTGTGGTTGATTCAACTGCTGCACATTTCGCAAACTTCCACGTTGAAGATTAAGCTGCGAAAAGTGGTTTGCAAGTGCATCACAGAATTCAGACGAATCGCTCCTTGCTTTTTTATTTTTCAAAAATATAACATATGGATTTTATATCTCAAAAAACACAGGAAATAAAATGTAAAGTTTTCATGAAATCATAGAATAGATAACATCACAGAGTTGTACTGCACTGACTTCTAGTTGGGTGACAAGTGAATGAAGTGGTTGAATGTGTTAACATTTTAATTAATTCAAGAATTTGTTTGGTGATGAAATATCACCTGAAATAGGCCTTAAGCAGTTGTCTCCAGGGCTCTGCAGTCACAGAGGACTAATGCTGCTACTGTTTTGGACATCCCATGAATAAATCAAATACCATAGTATGGGCAAACTAGAAGCAATAACCACATACAAAGCCTTACTGACCATCATCCAACTATACCTCCATCTCTTTCATCATCTGGCTTTCTTCCTACTGTTGATACTATCTTACATTCAGATCCCTCGTCTGCTTCTAACTCTGCAATCACCAATGGTGACAACAGTCAAGGAAACACTACTAACGGTCTTTCAAAACCACGCTGCCAACTTCATATTACAGTATACAACGTCAGAATTCTTTATCAAGTCGGACAACAGGCTTTGCTAGCCAGAACTCTGGCATCTCGAACCATGGATGTATGCTGTTTTTCGAAGACATCCGTCGTCAAATCAACAATGTACTCAAGTAGACCATACAGCAAGTCGGTAGAAGACTGTCTCTCCCTCTGTAGCGATTACCTACGTCAGTACACGTATATGCCTACGATTGGACGAACATACAAAACAGGCAGCAATAAAACCTCTACTTCTTCAACGCGGTGGTAACACTAGGTCCCTTTTCAAGCAAGCAATAGCTTAACGCGTATCTGAGACTGACAGAAAGACTCATTTCGAGGAAGCCTGACATAATATCCAGTCAGCTGTAGGTACAGTGGTAGAGACTGCTGTCAACCTAAAGTCAAAGGTTAGTAAGTGTCAGTGGATCTCTGTTGCTTAATCTGGACTGACTGATGCAAGAAGACTGATTCCACCGGGCTCTGAATACTTTGTAGAGTGAAAGCTAGGCAAGCGCAAGCTGAGAGAAAGCCTCTGCAACGACTACAAACTGTAGTAGGAGAGAAAAGCTGAAGAGATGGAAAAGACAACAGCGATAGGTAATACCAGACAACTATTCAGGATTATTAAAGAAATAGGAAGGAAGATGATGTTTGCGAACAGTGGCGTCTTAATTAGCTCCCAGAAAAGAAGGCTGGAACTTTGGAAAGAGGTCATGAGAAGCAGTTTAACTGACCTACAAAAAAATTCATCTTGCTCAATATCCAAAAGTAACCTGAGTGGGATATGGATGTCAGCCCTGCATCCGTAACTAATGTTACGAAGTCTGTCTGTAATCCAAAACTATGCAGATCAGAAGGACCTGATGGAATCTCTCAAGAGGCATTTAAGGACTTTGGTGACAAACTGTTGTCTGAGTTAACTGGGGTAGGTGAAAGATAATGTATGGGAAACTGAGACAGTTCTATCAGACTGGTGCAAATCATTGATTATCCTAGCCTTTAAGAAGGGGGACAAATTTTCCAATGACGATCACTGGGGGATAAGCCTGGTTATTTTATTATCTAAAGTTCTAGGTTGAGTAATCAAACACAGACTAATTGATGTTTGGAAGAAAGAACCCCCAAAATACCAAGGGGGCTTTAGGCCAAGAAGAGGCTATAGTGATCATATCTTCACTCCTCGACAAATTCTGGAAGAAACACATACTTACCACCTCTTATCACTTGTCCCGTTTTCTAATCTGAAGATGGAATTCGACCCAATCAGTGGAGACGTGGTGTGACGACGTTTGGCCGTGAAGAGGATACCAAGAAAGTAAATTGCACCAATCAAGGTACTCTAGTAGAACTCACTCAACCGTGTAGGAGACGTTGAAGAGTTGCCATTTGAAGTGATGCAAACCAATGGTGCCCATTAGGGAGGCCAAATACGCTCGTTTTTTGTTTAGTTTCATAACAGGTGTACGAATCTATGTTATCCTAATCGAATTTAGTGTCATAGGGATCGACTTGTTGCTGGGAAACAGTCTTGTGGACTAACAGTATGCAGATGATATTATCCTCGTAGATGACGCTAAAAAATGAAGTGTTATGAACATCTTGAGAAGAAACCTTTGAATGATCGGCGCGAGATTCGCTCTTTTCTAGTGTAAGATGATCCTGCGGGATTACAGTAAGTTGACTCCAAGCTTAACGATTGGGAGTGAAGTGGTAAGGCGTGTTGACTAATTCACCTATTTAGGAAGTTGCACTAACACTAAGGGGCTGCTTGCTAACGAAATTTCAACACGCGTACAAAAGGCTGGAGTGACATTTGACAACTTACATCATTTCTGGTATAGAAATGATATCCGGATATCTTTCAAAGTACAAGTGTATTTCGCACCACTTCGTTGTGTACTCCCTTAAGGCTATGAGACATGACCGTTGAAAGTGGATGATATGAAAGTGCTAGTTGTATTTACTCATATATGTTTGCGTTCTGTCTTTCATTTTAAGTGGCATAATATGCTGGTTAATTTAGAGGCTAGGCGTACAGTGCTTAGTAAGTGGGGTGATTCAATCAATGAAATTGTGAAGTTACATCTATTGACATGGCTAGGTCATGTGTTGTACATGAAAAGCTATCGCCTTCCTCGACGAGCATTGTCAGCTGATATAGGATTAGCTTTATAAAATAGTTTGGGGTTGTCGAGCTGAAACTTAGCACCATTCTGTGAAGCCTTTGACATTTAATTGGGACCATTAAGGGAAGTGTTGACGTCCAGGCTGAAGTCCTCATTTTGCTATACACTAGTCTCTGGAGGCTATTGGTGATGTGGCTTGAAATCGTTCTTAGTGACGCAAATGCATTCACTCTTTGAAATTTCCCCATGTTTCTCTTCAATCTGGCGCATATTTCTGCGAATTGTAATTCGTTTGAATATCTATTTTCTGTCTGTTTACTGCCTTTCTGTGCTGCATGGAGTGTGACAAGTTGGACTGGTGCACTTCTACGCTGAAATTTAGTCAGTCATCTGGGATACAGAAGGCTAGATTTGTATTTTTCAGCCGGCATCACCACTGGCTGAAGCGTAATTACTGACTAACCATCAAAACACGTGTATATTATGTGCCATTTAACTTAGTGACTGAAAAACTTAGGCTCTGAAAAAAGGAAGATATGAGAACAGAACAGTGTTACTCTCGTTCATTCTTATGCATTACTGTTTGATAAAAACTTATTTTCTCTACTGCTATGTGTGTGCTAACTTGAAGTAATCCCTTATCTTTTAAGTCGGCCAGTCTAGAGGCAGATATACACTCACACACAAGTACTGTGCTCCGTACTTCCATTAGTAACAGCCATAAAGAAAAGACAAAGCCACATTGAGAATTCTTAGTGACTTCAAAATTCCCCGTAATCCAAGATTACAAAAATGTTCTGTCTAAACAGAAGAATCATGAGACTTATGCAATTCATTAATTTTTTCATACCTTTCTTCAGATACCACTGGATAAAGAGTCTAACTCGCGACTACAATAACAACGCCCTTGAGATTATTTTAATGTAACATCTTGCTCTTTGGTTTAAATGTTTCTCCTGGTATGTTTCAAGCGTCTATAAATGGGGTGAAAACAGGTTTTCGAGGTGTTTAGGTCTACGAAGATTAAAGTTAACATATTCGGTAAACATGTGTATAAGCACAAAAAGGGATTAAAAGATTTCAAAAGAAGATTATCATCAACAGACCATCCAAAATCTGTATTTCACATTTGAAATTTTTACTTATTTGATGAGATTTTGATTCTGATAAAATGTCCCTTAAAACTATATCTAAAGCTTCTGGCTTAATAACAATGATAACTTATCATCGCTAATGTTCTGTTTATGTTACTATTTTAAATTCAGTAGCGATTTGATAATGATAGCTAACTTAAAATAGTTATAAATGGAACTGTCAGTTGTGTCACTCCGTATTAAACAGAATACTGAACACAGGAGTTTGACATATAATATGACCAACATTCTGACATTTAAGTGAGAAGTAGCGCGTTCGTTAGTATACTAAGCAAAGTGGCTGAATGAAATACCCAAATGAAATACTTCAAATAGAAGTATGCGCTGAAGATGTCACCTAGTAGGGTGATGAAAGCTTCGAAAATCAACCATCCAGCTCAGAGAACACAACCACTTGAGCTACAAATCTTCTCTATCATATATATACCCAGGAAATTAGTCCAGTGTGATACACTGAATTTCATATCACAAAGATTGTGTATAAAGAAGGGTAAACACCAAAAATATACCCTGGCTATGAGTTACTGCTTCATTTACTTCAAAGTGAATCTCTTGCAATGCAAGCCTCCAACCTGTAACCCAATAATTCTATTCAAAGTTGTCTAGACCGCTGCTCTACACCTTAGAAGAAACAGAACCGAAAAAGACGAATGCTGTATAGAAAATACTTAAGATACTAAAGAATATTAAGTACAGAAATGGGATCTGTTCTTTCCTACCTGCATGAAGTCATTTATAAAAACATACCAGCACCTGCACAAACATACTCATACAAATAAACTGAAAAGGGATACACCAGTTACATGACAGATATCACACTTTTCATTAATACTACAAACACATTTCATGCGCATATTTACCGTACCAACAAAAATTATTGAATGGTTAGATTCTAATGAAAGCACTCAAAACTGAAATCACTTTAAAAAGAAATTATCATGTTTCAAAAACAGAAATGAATGATGAATTTCAGGTGAGCGGAAACGATGGGGTTAATCTAAATTATTGAATGTTAGTGACTTCGAGTCAACTAGCAGAAACAAACCCAGTAATAATCTGTTTCTTCAAATGGAGAGTAATTCGGTAATATGAAATTGTGTTCAGTCCTCTAAACTGTGACAGTCTAGATGTAAACAGTGAGCGGAGATCAAAAGTGTATACTCTACGGTCGAAAGAATGACATGAGTAGAATGATAGTAATGCACAGTAAAAGTGAGATATTTTTGTCTGGAATATGTCTAACTTGCATTGAAGTGTATCCAATGTAATCGGGATCAAATAAGCTGAAAACAAATAACACATTAACAACAACGAAATTGTCAACATGTTCCTGCATAAAATAAACAAAACTTGTCAAGACAGGAATTGCAAAAATGAAAATTTTCATCAAAAATATGCATTGTTTTAACAAAACGGGCATTTATTCAAGCTACTGGCCATTTAGTCACCGGCAAGGGATCCAATAACGCATGAATTCTAAATTCTATCAATTCAGAGTGATTCACGAACTCACCTAATTTGAAGGTGTCATGTTCAAACCCCAGTGAGGTTGTATCTACTGTGTACAAGAATGTGAGAGCTGTCTATTACCCCTTTTGGTTTTCACTGGTCCTGTAAACGATGTTAGGTTTCTATCTAACTTGAAATTAGTTAAATATCTGCAAATCGATATTTGAAATTGTTCACAATCTGTGAAAGATCGAAGCAAGCTGAAATAAATATTTCAAACAGTTTTTTCTTTTAAATTTTGACATGTTCTTGAGGGAGATAATGAAAATTTAAATATTCGCAGGAATTACATTGATTTGTCCTGGCATAAATTGAAATGAAAACTAGCGAATACGAGAATTGGTGCCCAGCCAATAAAGAAGAAATTAATCTAACTTCACCTTTCATCGCTCATTACACGTGATTGGATTGTTGCAGTACTATTCCTACACCTAGATATAATTCATCATATTTTACATTCTCAATTAAATTAAACTGAAACAGCCTAACATGCTACCACCAAAGGCAATAAGCATCTTGAATTATTTCAAAATACAAAAGAAAAAATGAACCAAAATTAAAGCGAATCTTACCCAGGTTGGCTGTCATCTGGTCCTGAAGGCAGCGATGGAGTTATTACTGTCTCAGGATGCTTTTCGTCCACCAATACGGTTTGCTTGAATGAACCTGCTGCATCACGATCTACCACTACTAGCTTTATTTTCCCATCATCGTATGTATGCGTACCAGCCAAACGTCCACCCACCTTCAACAACTTTTGGTACTAAAAAGTACAGTAAAAAGTAAATAAGACTGTAAAAATTTCACATTCATTTGATTGTACATGCGTCATGAGTAAAATGAAATAATCACAGAAACTGCTGTGACAATGCAGGTTATCACATGTGTTTACATTACTGTGTATTATGATATTTTAAATCAAAACACCAGGTAAAAGTCGACAGTTAGGAATTATTATTATATCCTTTAATTCCTAGAGGAACATAAGGCTTCAGCTGCGCATCTCCATTGCTTTCGGTTTTCTGCCAACTTTTTCACCCCACTCCAAGTCTGCCCACATGCTTTCATCTTCTCTTCACATGACCTCCTCCAAGTCACCCACCGTGGGACGACCAACTCGCCGCCTCCCTTTCGGGTTCCACTCGAGCAATGGCTTGTCTAGTGATGTCACTTGGTGGTTTCCTCAGCGTATGGCCAATCCATCTCTATTTTTTCCTGCCTATTTGTTTCACAATCGGTTCCTGCTGTGTTGGTTCGCTCATTGCCAGAGATCCCTTTCGCTGATCTCTTCTGGCCGGCCATCTGATCTTGAGTATTGAGCGAAGACAACTGTTAATGAAGGTCTGAAGTTTGTTAGAGATGTTCTTTATGACACGGCGACAAGTCTCCGATCCGTATAGCGAGTAGCACTGACTTCACATTGGAGTTGAAAATCCGGATGTTATTTTTCATGCTGAGTGATGTTGACCTCCACACAGACTTAAGAGTAATGAAAGCTTGTCTTGCTTTTCCGATTCTGTCTTTGATATCCTCGTCAGTTCCGCCTGTAGTTGAAACGATGCTTCCCAGGTAGGTAGGTAAAGGAGGTTGTTACTTTCAGATTCCTCCCATTTATGCTGGCTGATTGTTGTCTGTTATTGTTGTTGCTGTTGGTGGTGGCCGGGAATCTTCATCACCTCTGTTTTCTCTATGTTCAATTGAAGTCCTATCTTTGATGCTTCTTCTGCCAACTTGTTGCTTTTCACTTGCATATCTTCCATTTTGTGGGAAATCAGACACATGTCATCGGCGAAGTCCAGATCCTCCAAGTTTGTTGTTGTGTGAGTCCATTTTATGCCTGTTTCCTCATTACCCGTTATCTGTCGCATTATCCAATCTACTGCAATCAGGAAGATCATTGGCGATAGTAGACAGCCTTGCCTCACTCCCGTCCTCATTTCGAAGGACTCCGTAAGTTTCCCGTTGTGGATTACTTGGCATGCAGCATTTTCGTATAACTGTTGGATGAGATGTATAATTGTCGATGGCACCCCGTAGTAGCGAAGTAGTTTCCAAATGACCTCTCGATCGATAGCTGTCCACTGAAGGCCTTTTCAAAGTCGATGAAGTTGAGTGAGGTGGAGAGGTGACTGCGATTCCAAGCTTTGTTCAATGATTATCCGGAGTGTGGCGATTTGATCATTACATGATCAATACAGCTTGTTCCTGTCGAAGTTTTCATCCAGGGCTTGTTTATTTCTGTCCAGGATGATGCGGCTTAGTATTTTGCTTGGGATCGACAGGAGCATAATTCCGCGCCAGTTCTTGCATTGACTTAAGTCTCCTTTCTTTGGTAGTTTGAATAGGATTTAATATTCAGTGGAATTTAAGAAATGAAGGATTCAATAGATAAGATTTCAATACAATATACAAAAGTTTGAGAAACGACGTAGACTAACAAATTCCAACCATCTACTCAGGAACTTTCCATTATGTTATATATAATTATTATTATTTGTTTCACGTCCCCAGTGAAACATAGGACTCCAAGCCGGAGGCTTGAAGTTTCTGTAGTAGTGTTTACTTTTTACTGGATTGGGTTGCTAGCCTCATTCCCAATCTTCCCTCTTTACAAGTCTTATTGCTGGATAAGTAAGACAAAGGAGTGCGTTGGCCGGTGTTCGAATCCCGGACCATGTGCATGGTTGGTGAGCATGCTAACCGCTGTGCTACCGACGCCCATTGTGTTATACATCCATAAATTCCCGTAGTTTAGTTAATAATTATCTTCTACACATACCCCTTGTTTCATTATTATGAAACAAATTATTAAATACCATTTGAGTTGAAATAACTGTTTTTAAAATACATTATATATACACATTGATATTAACTTATCTCATTTTCAGGCTGTTAGCATTTGAAGAAAAGCCATGAGTTGAAAAATAAAGTCTTCATATCCTAGAAATAGATTCATTCTTAAAGCACTAAAGGTATGCTTGATGGTATTCAAATTAAGAACAGATCATAGTGATAACTTTTCTTGAGATCACTTGAGGTGGTCAGGATGTGGGTTTGTGTGTCAGACAGATGTTGACGTTCAACATAGCAGTTCAACATAAAAACCTTACTTTTCCCCACCTTCCATTCGATACAATACCTACTGATCGAAGACAATTTATTCAGTGTCAAGTGTGGCGTACATTATGAGAAAGAAAGAAATTCACACATGAATTACTTTCTATTCACCGTCTCTTTTCCAATTCAATTTATTTTACCACCAACCTCCACTTACCAAACAAAACAGCAGTACAAAATTTGCCTAAGATCCAGTATTGTATTTACGTTTACTATTTCTTGTGCGAAAAATAAACAGACCACCAGTGCGGCACAGGAAGTGTTTCCTAATATAACTGCTGACCAGTAGCGTACAGCAGGTCGGGTGTGAGGACAAATACTCGCCGAAGACATTGACTAGCGGTTGCGCTATATCGTGAATTAGCAAAAGTTGGAATTCATGGGCCATTGGATCGGGTCCCAGTGGCTCAATGATCTACGAGCTCGCTAGCCTTGTAACCAAAAGGTTCTGGGTTCTAAACCCTGTGGTGGATGCGTACTGATGAAGAGTCGCAAACTAGGACGAAATCGCTTTTCAGTACTCCCAAATGGTTTTCCAATGGTTCTCTAACCAATTTCAGATCATGATGAAGTCCTGTAACTAATACAGAATTCCTTTTATGGTATAAAATAATTGCTCACACAGCACAAAGCAAAATATCATCAAATATCATGACTTTAAGGCGACTATGTTTCTCAGGGACAGTCTACTCCGAAGTATGCGTGATATTCCACAGACCTAAATTAATCTCAGATAGTTACATTGTCTTCATGATAGAAAGCAACACATGAACAATATTGTTTATTGTCGTTCAAACAAACGAATAAACAATCCTATCTAAAGTATCTGTGAAGGTAGCATGCAAGAAATTCGTGTTCAAGTGATTCAATGTGTGCATTTGTGATCTATTCATCCCCAAGAGGATACCGCTGAGTTTCAGTATAGCCATGTTAAAGTGTTTAGTCAAATAAAGAGAAAGAGATTTAAATTTGATAATGAGGTATGAAACGAACTTCCTACTGATGTGTATTTTTGTTCCAAATATGAATCTGTCTTGTCTTCCCTCAGAAGATTATTAAGTATCGGCTAACACTTCTGAATGTATGATTCATCCAATTTTGACCCCATCACTCGAATAAATCTGCAACAGAGAGACTGAAGTTCTCTTGAATAAAAGTATAGTCCGAGTGCTGTTTATCACTACTCGCCAGATACTAGCTTGCTAGGCTACTAGCTTACTAGTTTTCTCGCCGGTCCCAAGCCCGGGTAAAGAGGGAGGGTTGGGGCGTGGTGCTAGCAACTCCACCCCTGTAAAACAACCAAATCGCTACAGAAACTTCAACGAATAAATATATTAAAAATTCTAAAAACATAAGCAATAGCCTTACTTTTCGCTGGAATCGGGGAAGTGAAATGACGCAGGCTGGTGAAAGCCTTCGGGAAGCCAGTCAGCCGATGTGCCTTCTTTCGATGAAAGCAAAAGTAAGGATGGGTACCTGGAATGTTCGTACAATGTACGAAACTGGAAAGGCTGCCCAGATAGCCGCTGAAATGAGAAGGTACAGAATAGAAGTGTTGGGAATCTGCGAGAGCAGATGGAACGGAACTGGAAGGTGCCAACTACCTACTGGAGAGACAGTAATCTATTCCGGCCACCTAGAGGACAACCATGAGCACACCGAGGGAGTGGCCATCATGATGTCACCAACAGCAGCCAAAGCTCTCATGCAGTGGGAACCAATCTCCTCCAGGATAATGACAGCCAGGTTCAACTCAAAAGGAAGGAAAGTTACAGTCATTCAATGCTATGCGCCTACAAACGTCTCAGAACAAGAGAAGAAGGAGGCGTTCTACAGACAACTACAAGCAATAATGGACAACGTCCCAAATGGCGATATCAAAATCCTGATGGGCGACATGAATGCGAAGCTGGGAGGAGACAACACAGGAAGAGAACTCACCATGGGTCGTGAGGCCCTCGGTGAAATGAACGACAATGGTGAACTCTTCTCAGACTTCTGCGCCTTCAATGATTTGGTGATTGGTGGCAGTGTGTTCAAACACAAGGATATACACAAGACGACATGGATTTCACCAGATGGAAACACCAAGAATCAAATAGACTTCATCTCAATTTCAAGAAAGTGGAGACGGAGCCTACTGGACACAAGGTCAAGGAGAGGAGCAGATGTGGGTTCAGACCACTATCTAGTAGAAGGGACTTTCAAGGTGAAACTAAAAGCCTCGAGGATAGCTGGGGATAGGCCACAATGCAAGTTCAACACTCAATTACTGAAGGACACAACCACAAAAGACACCTTCACTGCAACTGTCAGAGCAAAGCAGGAAACACTACGCGACATCACTGAAGAATCATGCGTGGAAGAACATTGGAAGTCTCTGAAGGCGATTCTCAACGAAACGTGTTCAACGGTTCTAGGAAGAAAGAAGAGACAAGACAAGGAATGGCTCTCAACGGACACTTGGAAATTAATAGAAGAGAGGAGAATGGTGAAAGAGAAAATGATTCAATGCAAGGACGGACAGGAGAAGGAGACGATGAGCTCAACTTACAAAGCATTGGACAAAGAAGTGAAGAAAAGTGCTAGGAAGGACAAAAGACGATTCTACGACAACCTAGCTACTGAAGCTGAAAAGGCAGCAGGCAAAAGGGACCTGAGGACACTATATCAGATAACCAAATCTCTATCCGGGAAGAGACCAACACAAGCGAAACCTATAAAAGACAGCCAAGGGAAGCCCATTACCAAGGAAGAAAAACAGATTAAACAATGGGCGGATCACTTCAAAGGACTCTTGAACCGACCACCACCTGCAACCCGTCCAGAAATACCAACAACAGCACGCACACAACTGCAAGTTGACACCAATCCTCCAACGAAAGCTGAAGTCTTGAATGCAATCAAACTTCTGAAAGCTGGAAAAACAGCCGGACCAGATGGAATACCCCCTGAAGCACTGAAAGCAGACCCAGAGACGACAGCAGACATGCTGACTCCATTATTGCAAAAGGTCTGGAAGGAGGGAAAGGTGCCTACTGACTGGAGGAAAGGTTACCTCGTGAAACTACCAAAGAAGGGCGACTTAGGACTCTGCAAGAACTGGCGAGGAATCATGCTCCTATCGACGCCAAGTAAAATCCTGAGTCGCATCATCCTGGAGAGATTAAAGGACGCACTGGAGACAGAACTCCGACCAGAACAAGCTGGATTCAGGAAAGGCAAATCATGTACTGACCAAATTGCAACTCTACGCATCATCATCCGAACAAAGCATGGAATGGCAATCAAACCTCTACCTCAACTTTATAGACTTTGAGAAGGCCTTCGACAGCGTTGATCGTGAAGTAATTTGGAAATTACTCGAGTACTATGGCGTACCCCAAATATTCATCAACCTTATTCAACAGCTGTACGACAACGGCACCTGCCAAGTGATCCACAACGGAAGACTCAGCGAGGCGTTTGGAGTAAACACAGGAGTCAGACAAGGGTGCTTATTATCACCAATGATATTCCTAATTGTGGTGGACTGGATTATGCGTCAGACAGTGGGAAACGAGAAGACAGGAATATCCTGGACCGACGTGAAGAACCTAGAAGACCTGGATTTCGCGGATGATTTATGTTTGATGTCACACACAATCGAAGACTTACAAGCGAAAACCGACAAACTGGTCGAAGAAGCAGCATAAGACAGGACTCCAGGTAAACATAGACAAGACGGAGGTTATGAAAATAACCAACCAACAACAGCAACAACATCCAACGTCAATCACCATCAACGGGAGGGATTTGAAAGAGGCTACTTCATTCACTTATCTAGCGAGCATTGTCTCAACTACAGGAGGAGCGGACGAGGATGTCAAATCGAGAATCGGGAAGGCGTTTTTTTTTTTTTTTTTTTTTTTTTTTTTTTTTTTTTTTTTGTCACTCAGCATCACCAACAAAATTCGGATTTTCAATACAAACGTCAAGTCAGTTCTTCTATACGGATCAGAAACTTGGCGGGTCACAAAGAATATTTCCAAAAGGCTGCAGACCTTTATTGACAACTGTCTTCGCTCAATACTGAAGATCAGATGGCCGGAAAGAATCACCAACAAGGAATTATGGGAACAAACAAAGCAGGAACCAATCGCCCAACAAATATGCAGGAGAAAGTGGAGATGGATTGGACACTCGCTGAGGAGACCGCTGGGTGACATCGCGCGCAAAGCCCTCGAGTGGTACCCGAAAGGGAAGCGGCGTGTGGGACGTCCAAGGGTGACATGGAGGAGATCGTGTGAAGAGGAGTTGAAAGAATATGGATTAACATGGATGCAGGCGAAAAGTATAGCAGAAGACAGAAGAAAATGGAGACGTGCAGTTGAAGCCCTATGTTCCACTAGGAACCCAAGGGAGCAATAATAATAATGTAAATATATGGATAAAATGTCACTACATGGAATAGATTGAGGTTTGTATGACATATATCTATCTGTACTTACAGAGTAAGCGTGACTCAACCCACTGAATGAACAACATTGAACATAAAATGTAATTACCATATTGTTACAGTACTTACTTAAGTGGGAACTCTTTTAAATTAGCTAATAGAATAAGTGTATGACACATAAGATTTGATTGGCACAATATATCTGCAGACTTACAGAATCAATAGTGCGTTGGTCAGTAGTACGAAGATAAATAGCATCATATGAAGGATGGGCTTTTTGTAAGGTAAAAGGATCGCCAGTTGCAAAGAGGATACCAGTGCTTTTGCTCCCTAAGATGGGCATAAAACTATTATTCCGCCAACGATCAACATTATTCTCAGCTAATTTTGTCAGTTGTTCTATCCTGCTAGTGGCCACAACAACACCCTTAGCGCGAACCTAATGAAAACAAGCAAAAATCTAAAAATAATTAGGTAATGTATTTCTTAAAGAATAACTCATACTAAAACATCAATTCATTCATTTAAAAATAAAGTAATTAGGATTGCACGGTTACTATCCGATTGCATTAAACTATTTCAAAGAATTCTATCATTTCAGCATTGATTTCAAAAACGTTATTCACATGGGATTGACAACATTTCGGTAATGCTCTATGGGTATTCATCTCTCAGGAAGACACCCAGGAGATATCCCCTACCTCTGTTCTCCTTAAAAGAGAAATTCTCTAGTGTGTCTTAGCTCCTTCTAGTAATGCTTGCATACAGACGCTTTACTTCGTTGTTGAAGTGTTCTGTTTTAATTTACTAGTTGATCTGTATGTATTCATTTTGTACATACTTGCATTTCGATTTTCCTCTACTTGCCCTCCTTGTTAAGACATTTGGAAATGGAATTCGCTGTCCTATTTCACCTCTCTTGTCAATTTGATATCATGTAAAATGTCGCTGATTAAGTTATAAGGGCCAATTATCATGAATAAGTCAATGACGGAATACATCCACAATTTTAGAATGATCATTGGTAGAACCATGAAATCTAGCATCTTCATAATAGCTCATTGATGTGGGTGATTCCATGAGTGTCCTATTATATGACGAAAATTACAAAAACCGTTGTCGTGGTACTAAAATCTAGCCAACAAAGCTACTTAAATCCAGAGTTAGTCAATCAGAAGAAGTAAATTCCGAGGGTGATAGTACCAGAATCAATTATAAGATAAACTGAACCATGGCAAATGTTCTCTTCGTCATCACGTCCACGAGCATAAATTAGCAGTCAAAATACGTGACAATGATTCCATCATACCGGTGCGCGCAGGCAACTACATACACTGATGCATCCAGGAAAGTGCGCAAATCTTAGATGAAACCATAACAATGTCAGTAAATAATAAACAACACAGATAAAAGGTTAGATAACAAGTGAAGAAGTTATAATAATTTGTTGAAATTAGTACTGAGGAAGCTATTTAGGTACAGAATGCAACTATCTCGCTTGGCATACACAACAACGCCAAGTAGATATTTGTGAGCTGCAAATGGTCTCTACCGGTTAACTGACTTATTCACATGTCTTTTGAAGTTGAGTTATATCAACTTCAAGGTAACATTCTCCTACAGTTCATTTTCTTCCCAATAGTTAGTATATTACTCATTTAGAAAATCAAAATCAAATATTTTGTGACTAACCAACTTCATTCCAAATAATCAATACAAGTAGTCTATATCCTAGTGGCAGCAATCTGTATAAAATTTATAGAAACCAGATTACAGTTAAAGTAATAAAATTAATAATAGCATAACAAGAGCCTACAAATATAAATAATTATAGCAAGCAGGCAGAAAATCGTGGGTGGATTTCGAACACATAGAGTGGTAAAAGAAGGAAGATTCAGAGAAGACAACATTTATTTAGCTAAGAAGATGTTAAACTCCTCTGAGTATGTTTACCTGTCTTATTGTCCACCGATGCTATTGAAGGATAGATCATCATCTGAGTCATATCATTTCTTCCATAAGTGCCTACTAACTGAATTTGCTGGAACTCTTGGTTTCGTCTAATTGTTCAACCCTTCTTCGTAGATGCTCAACAGTTACTTTTCTCTACATAGCGTGAATTTAATCTCATAAGCTACCATATTAGCATAAACGATTTCAAGCATCAACCGTTTGTTACCACGCATTTACCGACATTTGTAATACTTTTTGAAAGGGAGAAACATCAGTTCTCCAGTGTAATTAGTTAATCTTATGAAGTTTTATTTCCCCATCTTGAATCCATCAAGTACTTTAATAACATAAGCAGTCCCCTCAGGGATTCTATGGACATTACATTTATATTTTACAACTTTCAAATGCTGGTTGATGAAAAGTTTCATATATCCAGCTCTAAATAAAAAACAGGTCGAGCAATACACATCGTATGGACTGATTCTATTGGGCCATATAATTTTACTCAAAAGGATAACTATGCCAAAAAATTTCCATTTGATAAGGAAATGGGTTCAACAAGGCGCATATGCTGTCTAGCAAATATATGTTCTATTGTTGATGAAGCATTAAAAATTCGGGGATTTGTACAAATTTCGTAGCTTTATCAATTAGTACTCACGTAAATTAGTCTGACTTGAATGATCCTTCACCTTCATAATTACTTTCATATGAGATACAAAAGTTGATACAATTAAGTACATTGTATTTTGCCAACCATTAAATGCAGTCGAATCCACAGACAACATCATATTGGTGAGAAATGCTTATCACGGACTTTAAAGGTAAATTTTATTCGGAAAGCTGATTGGGAAACATTAACCGTCATAATATTTCTAGTTGTAGGAGACATGTGTTCAGATATAAAATATTTCCAGTCATGACTTGAAATCAACATCTATCCGATTCTTAAAAGCAATGGATAACCTTACGTGGAATTCAAATAAAACACTTTTATTAGACGGCAATAAACAACAATGCAGAATTCCTTCAAATGCATCTGACTCTACATGGCACAGAAGCAGTACACTAAAAATCCAAGGTTTGTGGTTGGTGCATCTTGTTTAGTGTGAAACTAAACACTTTGTTTTGTTAAAGGAAATAAGAATACAGCATGTGTTTGGAGGCTGTCAAGCCACATACACACAGTATTCTGACTGACAAGTGATGGTTTTTGACAATAGCAACAACTATACAAGAATTAATCGGTAAACAGTAGACTGTATAGATGTCCAGTTTCACATGCTGAATAAAGCGAAAAGTGTCGCTTTTGAACCGCGTGAGAAGGTGTAACGATATGCTATATTCGAGGTAGATAACACACTGAGAGTCAGTTTACGGAAATATTTGAATCTAAGCTTCATAGACGTTGGTGAGTTTCTATCGGCTTAAATCCTTTCATTTTTATATACGTCTCACCTTCTAGTGCTTAGTGGGAAAAATCATGGTTTCCCATGTTTCTTTTGGTTGACTTTTAACATGTGATTTTTAGACAAAAAGCTTATAAACACATTGCATCAGTCTTACCATAAGCCACATACAAGCTGCTAGATAACCCCCGCTTGTTTCAATATCTAAAGCTTGTGAACCACGTTGAAGGTGGGCTTCTAATGCCTGCAGAACACGTGCATTCTATATCAACAAATAAGAGGGAAAAATTAGGAACGCAATGAAAGGTACTGAAAATTATCTAAATAACTGTAAAGGATATCTGTATAGAAGGCTAAATCATTAGTGTTACAAGGGTTTCGGAATGTTTGTCGAGTGAATATTTAATCATCATATCAGCTTTTTGTTCGCCGTAATTTCTTTTGCTTATCGTTACCAGTCAGTAAATCTGTTCCTGTTGACAACGAATTCTAGGTTTCCTTTCGTCTAGTGAATTTATTTGCCTGTTGAGAATTGCTACACAGGGAATATAGTGCATATAAGCATTGCATTTCCACTTAGCTGCTTCAGATATTTCCGTCCTTTTCAGAGAATACCTTGAATAGTTCCGTACTTGCTGTTAATCAAGGATGATGAAGTATTCGCTGACTGTAACTAGAAAATGTCAAGATGTGCATAATTTACTGATGATTTTTGAGTTTTGAGGGTGGAGTAGTAAAAAAATCCCCAAAATTATAAGTCTACAGAATTCACCATCCAACTAGAGATGCTAACCTTTACTGTTTAATTTGACTCGTTTAGCTGAAGGCTGGCGGCCAGGCATCCATGAGATTTGGCAAACCGTCGTGTTACATTTGTTCGTTTATGAATCCTAGCTAGTAAAGTAACTTTCCTCGCACACAGAGAGTTTAACCTCGAAATATACTTCATGTTTTGAACGGTCAGTTTGGGGTTATGACTTGCTTTTGGTGTACGCAGGACAAATACTGTAGGAGTTGTGGTTATAAGAATTTGAGTTAGTATAAACTAATGAGAACTAGTATGAACTTCATCTTCTTTAGTAAACACGCAAACAAATCGGATGAGTTCGTTCAATTATATATTTGTTCATGTGTTATATTTACGATATTTCAGGTCTTTTTTGATGTGACTGACCATAACCGAAAGGTCATCCGTATATGACCAGCTGGCACCACTCTTCAGCTCCTGCCATTCTGGCTAGACAATACAGAAACGCGGTTTCTGTTAGTCAATCCGCATCCTCTAATAGGGACCAAGTTCTGTACACAGTGACAAACTTTAAAGATTCCGAAATCCTTATTTCAAAATTTTCTGCTGATAATACCATTCTTATGCTGTTTTCTTTTCTTTTCTGTCAGAAATAATAAGATTGTTTTTCATTTTTGAAAAATTTTACTGCTGATTTACATCTGATAATTCTACGTCCGAAACCATTTGTAATCTTTAATATTTACAAGTCTAGCAACTCCGGCTTTGAGTACAAGTTGCTTTTCTGAGACTACCGTCAGGAATATGATAGGGGAATGTCTATGAGATGAGACTAGTTATAAGATGTAGTCGACGACCAATTAATCAAGGTGGGTTATTCTCCCCTCGAATACTAATTTTAATTCTAATTTTTCCAACAAGTATGTTGCAAAAAACGACTAAACTTGGTGGGTAATTTGAAGTCTAAAGTGCAACAGGTAAAACTGCTACTGATGTGATACAACTATAATATGAGCTAACACTTAAACGGCAGAATGAGCAACTCAACTTACCGTAGTAGGAGCCCCCATTTTGGCCCCATATCCGATGTCATGTTCTTTCATTGAGTAGGGGTCTTTTGTTAAGAAAAACCACGGATCAGTGAACTTCAAGGCGTCTCTAACACGGTTTGAACTAAAATATCCGTCTGCTGCATAAAAGTATCAGTGAAAACTAGGTTTTGATTTAAAAGGTGTACCTTGCATTTTGTCCACAATTTTAAGATATGTTAAATTAGCCCAGTGGAAGTCCCTTGATGAGCAGGGTTCATGAAGAGAAAATAAAATAATCAGGATTAAACTGGTTGTAAACATATTTCTGCACAATCACGGAAACTATGGTAGATGTCAGAATAGCGGCTGAGAATAATGTTAAGAAGCCTTTGAAATGTTAAAACAAGGGCCCAGATTAAAATGACTAGATCCTGTCGTAAAAAGAAAGGATCAAAATTACCTCACAAATTTATACAAGGATAAATTTCTATTATTATTATATCCTTTAATTCCTAGAGGAACATAAGGCTTCAGCTGCGCATCTCCATTGCCTTCGGTTTTCTGCCAACTTTTTCACCCCACTCCAAGTCTGCCCACATGCTTTCATCTCCTCCTCACATGACCTCCTCCAAGTCACCCACCATGGGACGACCAACTCGCCGCTTCCCCTTCGGGTTCCACTCGAGCAATGGCTTGTCTAGTGATGTCACTTGGTGGTTTCCTCAGAGTATGGCCAATCCATCTCCATTCCTTCCTGCCTATTTGTTTCACAATCGGTTCCTGCTGTGTTGGTTCGCTCATTGCCAGAGATCCCTTTCGCTGATCTCTTCTGGCCGGCCATCTGATCTTGAGTATTGAGCGAAGACAACTGTTAATGAAGGTCTGTAGTTTGTTTGAGATGCTCCTTATGGTTCGCCAAGTCTCTGATCCGTATAGTAGCACTGACTTTACATTGGAGTTGAAAATCCGGATGTTATTTTTCATGCTGAGTGATGTTGACCTCCACACAGACTTAAGAGTAATGAAAGCTTGTCTTGCCTTTCCGATTCTGGCTTTGACATCCTCGTCAGTTCCACCTGTAGTTGGAACGATGCTTCCCAGGTAGGTAGGTAAAGGAGGTTGTTACTTTCAGGTTACCCCCCCATTTATGCTGATTGTTGTCTGTTGTTGTTGGTGTTGGTGTTGGCCAGGAACCTTCATCACCTCTGTTTTCTCTATGTTCAATTGAAGTCCTATCTTTGATGCTTCTTCTGCCAACTTGTTGCTTTTCACTTGCATATCTTCCATTTTGTGGGAAATCAGACATATGTCATCGGCGAAGTCCAGATCCTCCAAGTTTGTTGTTGTGTGAGTCCATTTTATGCCTGTTTCCTCATTGCACGCCACTGTCTGTCGCATTATCCAATCTACTGCAATCAGGAAGATCATTGGCGATAATAGACAGCCTTGCCTCACTCCCGTTCTCACTTCGAAGGCTTCCGTAAGTTTCCCGTTGTGGATTACTTGGCATGCAGCATTGTCGTATAACTGTTGGATGAGATGTATAATTGTCGATGGGACCCCGTAGTAGCGAAGTAGTTTCCAAATGACCTCTCGATCGACGCTGTCGAAGGCCTTTTCAAAGTCGATGAAGTTGAGTGAGGTGGAGAGGTGACTGCGATTCCAAGCTTTGTTCAATGATGATCCGGAGTGTGGCGATTTGATCAATACATGACTTGTTTCTCCTGAATCCGCCCTGTTCCGGTCGAAGTTTTTCATCTAGGACTTGTTTGATTCTCTCCAGGATGATGCGGCTTAGTATTTTGCTTGGAATGGACAGGAGCATAATTCCGCGCTAGTTTTTACACTGACTTAAGTCTCCTTTCTTTGGTAGTTTGAATAAGTATCCTTTCTTCCGATCCTCAGGTACTTTGCCTTCTTTCCACACCTTCTCCAGCAGTGGTGTTATCAAGTCCGCTGTTGTCTCTGGGTGCATTTTCAATGATTCTGCTGGGATTCCATCTGGACCTGCTGCTTTTCCAGCTTTTGCATCTTTATTGGATTCAGGACTTTTTATTTCGTCGGGGGTCGATATTCGCTGGTAGTTCTGCTTCCGTTGTTAGAATTGTTGGGTGCGTTGTAGGTGGCGGTCGATTTAGAAGTCTTTTGGAGTGTTCAGCCCAGTGTTTTCTTAGTTTCACCTCTTTGGTGGTTGACTTCACATTGTCGTTCTTTACTGGCTCAGTTTGTGTCGAAGTTTTGCCCGAAAAGTGCCTAGTTCTTTGGTAGAGTGTGGCGAGGTCTCCTTTGCCTGCAGCTTGTTCTGCTTCACTTCCCATGGTTTCATAATATTTTCTTTTGTCTTCCCTGGCACTCTTCTTCACTCTTTTGTTCAGTGTATTGTAGTTTGCATTCAACTCCTGTTTTTGTTTATCGTCGGTGCACTGGATAATCTTTTGTTTCACTGTCCTTCTCTCTTCTATTATTTTCCGATTGTATTTCTATTATTTCCAAGTGTATATTTGTATTATTAGGTTACAAATGAAAGGCAGAGTAGATCATGTGCTACAACTTTGCTTAAGCATTAACTATTTAGGAAGAAACTTACTGTCTTCGTGAGATAACGTTGCCCATGGAGGAATTGCGAGTTATTTGATAATAGTATGACCATCATTATATTTGTCATAATAACTAGACTTTCCTTGAGTTCTGGTTATAAGGCTCCAGCAGCACATCGCCACCTCATCTTGTTCCCTTTTTTCTTATAGCGCAGGTTTAATAATGTCCTAAATGGCCTCATTTCCTTCTCAAAAGATCTACTCCATGTCAGCTTCAGAAGTTCAACTCTTTCGCCGTCAGGGTACCATTCGAGTTTCTTACGCCTACTGTCGCTCAGTGATCCCTTAGAGTATGATTAGTCGTTCCCCGTTTCTTTATGAATATTCATTTGGAGATAAGATTTTGAAGGTTTAATTTTTAAAGTTCTTTCTTGCTTATCCTTTCTGGCTAGCCATCTGACCTTCACTATGGACAGAAGGCAGCTTTAAATATATGCCGGCAGCCCGTTGCAAATGATTTAGGTAATTTACGAGGCCTCTGAACAGTACGGAAGAACTGAGTTGACAAGTATTGAAGGTCCAAATCTAGTCATTAATCGTGAATACGGTAGATCCCTACTCTATTTTCACAGTAAGGGATGCATGTCTCCCTTTCCCGCTCCTGCCCAGTTTCAAAAGACTTTTCTGTGTTGCCTGTAAATTAATCGATTCTACCTGTAAAAACAAGTGAGACAGTTGGGCTTCCTTATATTCCTTCTTCTGATGAGCATAAATGATTGCTTTCATTGGCTGGACATGCTAAGCACCCCTTCTTTCTCTGTTATCACTTTCTTGTTTTTCACGTAAATCCTCTGGTTTGTGCGAGGTGAGGTGTGTCATCTGAGGAATCCACATCCCCCAAGATCTTTTGATCAGTCCGAAATATGCTGTTTTCCTCGCATTCCAAAGTCTGATGCATGAATTGCCCCCGCCCACATTTAGGAATATAGTCCGTGACTGTGGGCAACTCCTGCCTCCATTTAAAAGGCTTGGGGCGTCATCATACGCATGGCTCTTAAAGGAAGTTTATGAAGGTTTGCAATACTTCACGGTGTTAAGGCAGTTTCGAAATTGCTATGCTGTAGACAATCTCAGGGACCTTTCCACAGTCGGTAAAGTTGTGGTATAGGAGTGGCTGTCATTCTGTTCTCTGTTGAGTGACAATAATATATAATGTTCCAGCTTGTCCCGCCAACGGCTTGTTTCCTGAATCTAGCCTGTCTGTATCTGAGGAATCTTCGTAGCCGTTGCAAGATGATTCGCAAGACTACACCAATTACAAGCTTTCAACTTAGTAAATAATTTAGTGCATGGCGCCATTTATTCCTAACATCTATTCCCTGGTCTTATGAGCTTCACATTTTACTGTTACACTGCCTCATTTAGTTCCTGGGTGGTCGCATGTAGATGGACAATGTAGGCTGCATAAACTACCGTATTTGGCGAGTACTGATTAACTTAATCATGAACTTGGGGGGTGAGATAAATGTTCGGTTGAACTACTATTTTATGCTCGCATCACTTATCAGCAAACTCTGAACTGTCGTAGAAATACAAGCACCATTTTCCAACCTCCAGCTGTCAGTTGATGTCAATGTAGTTGAGGATTGGATGATCAATTCATGGTTGTTTGCTCAAACCCAACCCCTCCATAATTTTCGCGGGAGTCATCAATCCATCAGTCATTGTCTCATCGTTCGCTGTTCGGTGGAAGAGAGAAAACTATCAGAAGTATTATCTTGATTTATTGTTATAACATTTATTCTTAGACCTTGTGTGTATAACATTATTGTTTGCTACATAATGGCGTAAGAATAGAGGATTCTCGAGTCGCCAATCTGTGTTCTAGGACAGTGTGAGGTTCAGCGTAGTAAGAGTTGGACATTGACAGTTTCTGAGATTCGGATGACAGTTGATTTTACAATATTCATTGAAGCGTGTTTGAGCAGTGCCTAGGATTTCAGAAACTGTGTCGTTCTGGAAACGTTTACACATTTATGTATACTTTGGTGTTGGATATGATCACAGCAGCTTTTGATTGGTTCATATGTGAACTATGCCTCCTGACGCAGAATTCTGAGTGTGTTAGTGCGTTATATTCCTAACGCATCACTCTTTCTGTGAAAAACAGAACTAGCGATTAACCCTCTGGATTCCGGTTGACTGAACGGTGCCTTTGCTGTTACTTCGTAGGTGGGCTTCAGGACGGCATGATGTGGAATGAATGTGAGAATGCCTCTGCGTCATTTTTACATGTACTTAAGTCACACTTCTTTAACAATCCCCGAATCTGCAGGTACTTTCTTTATCCTCCACAACTTCTGCATTATCAGCGTGGGCGTGTCCACTGGGGTATCTTGATCCATTTTCAGCGACTTCGGGAGTTTCCCTATTAGAATCCTGGTTAACAGGCTTTCGGTAACTTTATGGAATTTGAAATATGTTGCTGTCAGAGCGCTGGTGGCCTCTGTTAATTCTGTTTCTGATGGTTGCGTGGGTTGGCCGATTCATTCCACCAAATCCCTACAAACCAATACTTGAATATCAATCAACATGCTCACTGGCGACTGGCCCTATTCAGGTAGTTAGTTACCTGGGGTTCCAGTGGTAAATCGTGACCAGGAGGGTGCAGCAGGTCGGGTGTAAGGACAAATACTCACCGAAGACATTGGCTAGCGGTTGCGCTATATCGTGAATTGGCAAAAGTTGGAATTCATGGCCCATTGGATCGGGTCCCAGTGGCTCACTGATCTACGAGGTCGTCTTGTAACCGGAAGGTCCTGGGTTCTAACCCATGTGATGGGTGCGTACTGATGAGGAGTCGCAAACTAGGACGAAACCTCTTTTCAGTACTCCCA